TTTTCTTGTTCAGGCCGTCGTTTGACCTTCCAATGGTGCAGCAGAGCTTGTGGGGCAGGCAGTGATAAGCTGCGATAGAGTGATGTGAATAAATGATAACACTCATGCGCTGTAAATGCGTTTTGACAATGGGTGCACAATTATTTTCGATTTCTCTCTCTGAAATAGCGTGATTACATTTTGCTATACCGTAATGTCTCTATTAATTAAGTCCCGTTCCCCTCTCAAATAGGCGCTCCTCCCTAGTAAGCCCCGTTTCAGATGAAGAAATTTCTTAAGCCCTCCCTCTCTATTGAAACTATTAAACGCCCTCCCTCTCGATTAAGCCCATCTCCTACATATGTACACAACAACAGATATCACCTTGTTGCCAACAGATGATGTCAACAGATGTTCACCTTACTTGCTAAAAAAACATTGTATCGTGCTTAAACCAAATTATCATTTATATTATCATGTATATTATATTACCAAATTATCAAATATATATCATTTATATATTTTGTACGTGTATTTTCATTCCATTTCAGCAAAGTGTTTGACACTGTCCCACATGATATAGTCTGTAGTAAACTGAAGTCACTCGACATATATCCATATATCACCAACTGGGTAATTATAATTTTGTTGGAAACAGAAAGCAAAGGGTCGTCGTCGATGGAATGACTACGGAGTTTGTATGCATCAATAGAGGAGTGCCCCAGGTATCAGTGCTTGGGCCTATACTGGGCCATACTATTGGCTCTTACGACAAACGATTTATGTCCAGTGCACCCAGAAAGGAACTTATTAATCAAGTTTGCGGATGACACCAATTTAAGTGTTCCTGTAAAAGCAAACTGTGACACTTCTTCCACCGAAGTAAACAACATAGAACGTTGGTTGCAGAACAATCCTATGACACTGAATATGACAAAAACAAAGGAAATGGTTGTGAAAGGTAGGACAAGCAGATCAGTACCACCTTTACTACCAACAATTGCACGGAATTTCCATTTAAAGCTTCTTGAATCTTGGTCTAACATTTCAAGAAAATCCCTGTAATTGGGATCTTCAAATGCTTCGATAGCTTGTTAGCCAAAGCTAGTAGCCGGTTGTATATATACTACGGATTTGCAAATTTTACGGATATCATAAAGAACAAATAAGCAATAGCTGTTTGACTCGCTCATCTTCTCCCTAATTCTTTATGGAATTGAGGTTTGAGGTGCTGCCTCCAAAGGGAAATACCTGGATCGTGTTGAACGTCTAAAAATTACGTGTTGTCTGATATAATAGAGAGAGAAGACATAACTCATAGTTTACACGAAATATTACCCCCTAAGAGAGCTAGAGCACTTAGCGAGTACATAGTTTTATTCTACCCAAAAATTCGGACAGAGAGATACAAGCGATCATGCATTTGTAAATAGATGCTTATTCCAGTTTATATAGAACTGTAATTTTATTGAACTTTTTATCTATAGTTATAGGCCTACTTTGGGGGCCAAGGTTGCCTAATGTCGCCCATGTGCACCCAATTTTCTAACTTTGCCTAACAGTCTATTCGCGCCTAGTTATATATGTTTTATATGGAGTACACATTATTTTTAAAGTTACACGTCTGATGTAACTATTCTCTTTCGATAAAGACTTTACAAACATACATATACACATGCATACACACACACACACATGATGCGTAAGTGCCCGTAGGAGGGGCGTTAAGTAGCCCAAAAGAATAGAACGAGTTGCAGTGAAAGAAACGTTTGTTAGACTGAAAATGTGGGCTTAGAGCTAGGCAGGATCCGGAGTGTTGGGGGCTGGAGAATCAGTCACATTTTATAACAAACGTCGGTTATGTCCATCAGTGATGGCTTCACCGAGTTTGCATAACATATGAATACTAATGAGTAGTGTCATCACTTGCATAACTAGAGGGCACTCAGAGACTGCATACCTCCGCCTACGCGCAAAATATTGAAGTAATCTATTGTTATTAGAATTTGAATGGCTGGTGCATATATTATGCACGTCCTAATTACGCATTCAGTATAAAGTTTTATTTAATTGACCGGGAAAAGCAAGACAAACTTTTGTTATTTCTCATTCAATATTTAACCAAATTCAACCAAATTTTAATCAGTTCTTCCTTAGCCGATGGGAAATGCACTCACAAAATTTCGTACGGATATGTTTGGTATTTCCTGAGTTATCGTGCTCACAGACAAACACACACACACACATACACACACACGCACACACATACACACACACATACAAACCCAGATGATTACATAACCTCCTGGCGGAGGTAATTATGGGTAAATATCAAGATTTTGTTGGCATCTCACTCGATTGAATAATAGTTGAAGGGTTTTGTAGATGGAGATTATCGAGTGGAAATACATTCATTAGACCTAACCAGGAACAGCTGCGAAAAACGCACCTTTAGGTCCCTGGCAGGCATCGAACCTGCGGCCCTGTGATTCCGGTGCAGCGCTCTAACCAACTGAGCTACAGAGCCCAGTTGTCGAGCTCTAACCTCATGTAGCTCACAACTACCAGACGCCTTTCAAATTCAAAAACTTCGCAATCAAGAATGTGGCCACAAAGAATCATGGAAGTTCTTATTCACTCAACGAAGTTCGTTTATCATAAAAAAACATACAGTAGAACAGTATGTGCTCTTTTACAAATACTACGTTAATACATTTGAACGTACAATTACGGTCTACAACTATAAAAACAAGTACATGAAAATGTTTCAGACGGGCAAATCCTCACTTATACTACACACGGTATTAATACATACATTTTCTCATTATATACATATATACATACATTCGCTAAAATGTAGTCTAAACGGTGTACTTTTAACCAGGGGCGGTGCTAGATCTATTTAAATGGGGAAGGGGGTGTAAGAGAATTATGCCGAGTCTCTAAGTGAAATTTTACCTTCTCATTTCTTTTCCCAAAGTGGGGGAGGGAAGTTTGAAAATTTTTCGGACATTACATTATTCAAACTATTTGAGTTTATTATACCGTTCTTCCTTTAATGTTTCCTTTTTCCTTCATATTTTCGTCAATTCCTTCAAATTTTAGTTATAATCCTTAATTTTTAATTTGTTTCACTAAATTTACTACTGGGATTCACGGTTTTGCCGACTACCTGACGCCCACCCTAGCGCCGCCCCTGCCTTTAACATTCCTGAAACTTGGACTTGAGCAACCGATCTGCATCTGATTTGCATCTAAGTAATTAAATTTACTAATTACTTGGCGATATATACCATATATGGTTCGCTTTAGAAAGTAAAGCTAAAGTTTATCGAAATCTGTGTCCGATTTACGACATACTAAACATAAATTTTTTAAATTTTCTTCATGAATTATTATCAAATACATGTATATAGGAATACAACTTATACATATTATCACTTATGAAATCCACTGCTGAGTTTACAAGCATCGTGTATATTGAATGATACAACACAACTACGTCTACATGTAGCGTTCTCTTTGTAGTGCCGACAAATCTTTCCAAGCAGCAAAACTTAGAGCCCAGCCGATATAGCCCAGAAAGCCCTTGCAGGCCCAAACCATATAAGTCCTTTTTCTCTTGATCGGGGCTATCATTCTAGGTGATGGTGAAATTCTTCCACTACTACAATCTTCCAAGACGTCATCACACATGTTAATTTCCTCAGCCCACACTAGACGTCCCTTTGTTAAATTTCTAACACCATAACACAACTTCCGCCACCAAGTTGAATTGTCAAACAAATGTTTCTTACGAGCAGCTATCCAACTATTATTAAATTTACCACCATTTTGATTGCAGTATTCAAGAGCTTTCTCAAGTTGTGTTCTTGCTTCAGTTGGGTTTTCTTCTAATTTAAGTATTGCAGACTCGGCGAGCAATACACAATATTCTGGGCACGAGGAGACGTCTGCTCCTAATACGTGTTCATAAATGTTCAGAGATTTGTTTATCGAATCTTCTCTCAATTTCTTATACTTTTGGAACAGAGGTTTATAAAGGGATTCGATATATTCATAGTGCCCGTATACACGCGATAGGTAATCTAAACAACGTGCTCTGCTTAAGGTCTCGCTGTCTGGAGCGCAACTTGACCAAAACTGTGTCGCTTCTCCGACAAAGGTTCCCAATTTCCAAAAATTCTTCCACGAAAAGCAAAAGGAAGAAAGCCAAAAATATCTTTCCATAATTTTGTCTTCTTCCTTGATGTAGACTTTCTTGGCCAAGTCAATCGACGTCTTCATCATTTCTACGGCAGGACCAACACTGTCCATGCTGTGATACGTCCGGGCCAAATAGAATGAGATACGACATCTTAACAACAACCATTCTTCCTCAATTTTATCTTCCGTCATGGAATAAGCTTCACGTAAAACATCAGAGGCATCTTGACCACATTCTAATTCCAGATAATAGAAGCCAAGGTTGGCCAATATATCACAACGTCTTTCATCAGATAAGTCAAGCTCTAAAAGAATACTATAGAGCAATCCCACGCTCTTGACAGCTTCTTTAATAGGCATGTCCGATGTTGAATAAAGAAACTGATCTTCTTTCTTGGAAATCACAACAAATTCGGCCGTATTATTCCAGGACATATCATTGGCATGATCAACAAATGACTTCAGGTGAGGCCTCACAAGAACTTTACGAAGTACGTCTTCTTTACACGTATTGTCCATGGAATCTAGTTTCTCATTCAGAGATTTCATCATTTTGACAAATTCAGTTTTCCGCTGTTCAACAGGTTTTGTGTTTTCTGCACTTTGAAAAGAATTGTGAATGACCTGATGATATTTTATTGTTTCAACGTTCTGTGACCGTCCGTGAACGAGTAATGTACAACTTGAAATCTCGTTTCCAATTTCTTCCTTTGTTGTTGACCGTTTATCATTCTGGACTGGTAGATTTTCCATAACGTGGTGTGCTAGTACATTCAAAGGAACTGGAAGCAATTCACAATATGAAAGAAACGAAAATGTTAGTCGTAGAACATCACTTGTTTCTGCCATTCGCTTCACAGCCATCGTAGTAGCAGCCGTCATGGATAAAGGATAAACGTTGTGACTGGAAAATGATCGGGATTCGAGTTTGGCTTTTTCACGATGCAAGTTTAGATATTCTTTCCATCCAAACTGTGTTGAAGCACGAGCTTGTCTTGTTTCTCTAACATATGTTGCACAACACGCCAAAGCAAGAGGAAGAGACTGCAACTCGTTAATAATTTCTTCAGCAAAATCATCAACCTCAACATCACTGATCTCCTTAAGCAATGCAAGAGCATCTTCTTTAGTCATCCCCTCGTTCAAGGACAATTTCTTTGCAAACAGATGACCAGCTGGTACGAGATTATTATCTTGCGTTGTAACCAGGACATGGCCACCACCCCATTCTTTGACACCAGGTCGTGGAAATAAATAATTGAAATGATTCTTTTCAAACATGTCATCAATGATAAGAAGCCAAGCATGACTGTAATCACGGAAATAATCCCTCAGGGTTTTCATCAGTTCTTCAAGATTTTTGTTTGTTTGTTCCATACATACTGGGATTTGTAATTTTCGCGTAGCTTCTTTAACAGACTTCATAAGTGAGTCTTCTGAGTTGGCGTTCAATGTAATCACCAAAGGTTTGGATGGATCATTGGAAGATGTCGCATTTTTAAACTGGTCACCATATTGTCGAGCTAACTCTGTCTTCCCAGATCCAGGTTGACCCGTCAGATAAACAGTTCTAACAACATCTTCATCATCAGTCATGGCAGCAAACATTGATTCAATATTGCCCAATTCTCTTCTTCTTTTACGAGAAAAATGAAATGGCTTGTCAGGGTAAAGGTTTGTTACCTAGTAAGAGTACAAGACAAAAAGTAAATTGATTTAATAGGTTAGTTTTCTGGCCTAGCTTCAATTTCGAAGAATTGCCTTGCGAAATAAAATAGCCTATCGTAGTGTAATTACCAAATATACTATGCAATATTTAAGATTTGTTCAATCTAGCATTGATCTGTAGATCTAGCAAGATCGCAATACATGATACAAGAAAGATAACATTTGTGATCGCAATGCATAAATACAAGAAAGGTAACATTCGACAGCTTACATGATACAAGAAAGGTAGCATTCGACAGCTAAAAGCCTGATCTTTATTGGTATAAAAAAACAAATGGATAAACGTAACATATAATGCACAATAACATGTCAAAATTGGATAAACAACCTAGCAATAGAGCAACAAATATGTGCATGTAATATCAATATATGAACATGCAAATGCGTGATATTGTGTCAGATATAATATTTATTAAGTATTAAAGGTAAAATTGAACACAAATTCTCATTTTACTGATAGCCAATGAAATGCGTTCTACTATGCATTGCACTCCCAGCCGTGCACTTTAATTCCTTACACGTAATATTAACATGTACTGTAAATATATACAATACAATACAATACAATATTTATTTGCCATATATATATATACATATACATACATACAATTAGAAACAAGAAAAAAATAGGTACAAGAAGGAAGGAACTATAATTAATTGTATCGGATGGCGAGGAGACCTCCAGAAACCACCAGCCTTGTACAAGGGAGGCCACCTCTTGATGCAAGAAGATTATATAATAAGTAATATTATTATTGGATTATTGGATATAGGACTAAAATATAGATGTGCTTAACTTAATAGCTGAGATAATTAATATAATAGATGCTCTAGCATTCTGTTCCTGAAACAACGAGGAGTAACTTGGTTAATAATATTTTTTGGTAATAAATTCCACAGTTTTGGTCCTTGAAATAGAATAGTGAACTGTTTAATATTTGTTCTGCAAGCGTGAGTTCGATAATCAGCCGCATGTCTTGTGTTATATATATGCATTTGACTACCTGTAGTAAATATCATGTGAAATAAAGTTAGTTTAGTTTAGGTTTCCTCCTGTAGTAACACTGGATCAATAAGAGATAATCCTTACTGGACCTCTAGGAAGAACAGTTTAGAACTGATAGAGCTATCCAGTATAAATAAAGTTAGTTTAGTTTTTACCTTTCTTAACTAAGCCATCAGTGTCTGTTCCTTTATCCTGCATTGGAAAGCAAGACAACTCGACAAGTAATTTACACATCGCTGCGTAAGTCTTTGCCGCTCGACTGGGAGAAGAACACGAACAGTGCACGTGTCCAGCACATGTACGACTACCTCCATCACGCATCTCTATTTCTTTGACACGAGTAAATTTATCATTCGCCAGCATATCCATGGCTTTCTCAGTATGAAATATTTTCCATTTAAAGAACTCCACAATAAAATTCATAAAATGGTCGATGCATTTTCTAACCAGCATCGACTGACTATCATGTTTGATGGCCATCTCTTCATTGTTTTTATCCGACTCCGACTTTATATCAATTTTTGTCAGTTTGGGCCTTTCCTGCCTATCTATTTTGCTTTTTTCTTTCGGTTTTTGCTTTTCTTTCGTCTTTTCCTTCTTACTTCTGTGTTTTTCTTTCGGTTCATTTGTCTTTTCATCCTTTTTACTTTCTTTTACTTTGCCATCTTTTCTTTTATCCGAATCACTTTTGACTCTTTCTCTCTTTTTCGATACTTCCACTTTTCCTTTCTCACGTTTCTCTTCATTTTCCTCCAAAACTTTCCCATCTTTTCCCTTTTCTACCAATTTCCTCCCGTCCACTACGTCATCGTTATTTTCTATTCTCTCAAACTTCGGTTTTCGAAACCTCTCTCCTATTACATAATCTAGACCTTCGCTTGACAAATTTTCGCTGTTTAATTCATCATTATCACGTGATTTCGGTTCTTCATCACGTGATTTCAGTTCATGATCACGTGATCCCAATTCTTGACCACGTGCTTCCATCATGACATCCCCTGATTCGAAGCTTTCACGAGACTCGAAACTGTCACGCGACTCAAAACTCTCACGTGACTCAAGCTTCTTATCACGTGGGCGATCGGTATTATCATGTGGCAAATCATGTGTTTCAGTGGTTGCTATACCATTCTCACGTGGCGAACTCTTTTCAGACGAATCCTCAAATGTTTTTGAATCGTATTCAATTGAATCATCTGGATCAAACTCGCTGCCCGTAGGACTCAAACCAGTAGAGGCAATACTCCGGGAGAGCGAGGTATCTCGGGCGAAGTTTGTCGAAGGCGTTAACTTGGAGAGAAGTTTGGAACAAAGTAATACTCCTTCTTCGAGTTCATCTAGAGTTAAGTTTTGACAACCTTTGGTTAGCTCTTGGATGATTGCAGACAGCAGTTCTGGCCAGTGTCGGGATTCTGTTTCAACTGAGGACTCCTGGAAATATACACAGTGATTAGCACATGTCTTTCACCTATGGGTTCTATTCTAAATTAAATTAAATTAAATTAAATTAAATTAAATTAAATTAAATTAAACTAAAGTTCTAATCTGTTCTCCCTAGAGATCCAGTAAGGATCATCTCTTATTGATCCAGTGTTACTACAGGAAGAAATCTAAACTAAACTAACTTTATTTATACTGGATAGCTCTATCAGTTCTAAACTGTTCTTCCTAGAGATCCAGTAAGGATCATCTCTTATATTGATCCAGTGTTACTACAGGAGGAAATCTAAACTAAACTAACTTTATTTATACCGGATAGCTCTATTAGTTCTAAACTTTTCTTCCTAGAGGTCCAGTAAGGGTCATCTCTTATTGATCCAGTGTTACTACAGAAAGAAACTGAAATTATAATCAAACAAATCTATTAAAGAAAATCTTACCAATGCAACTATGTTCAAAATAAAATCAGTCAGCCGGATTAAATCAAGTATCCCCAATTGCTCGTCACTTTGGTCAACTTCACAATCATTCAAATTTTTGGTGGGGCCATTACACAGAGGACCATTTTCTTTGGAAACATTGTCCCCAGAGTCCTTTTCTCCATTTGGAACTTTGTCTGAAGGGTCATTTCCTCCAGTAGGATTTTGACCCCTTCTGTTACAAGATGCTAACAGCTTCGCAATATACTGCCACATAAAATAAGGCTCAAATGTATTGAACAGTAAATTCCCCGTCTTTATCAATTCCTCCATGGGGTTCTCCTTAGAGCTGCTTTGTTTCACAGACTCACTTCTTTTTAGAGATCTTTCGCCTCCATTTTTATTTTCTGAAGTTTCTTTCGGATTAAAGTGCTGGTGGCTCAAAAACAGGTTTTTGAAGACTTCTATAAGGACGTCTTCTAAGATAGCCGAACCAATTTCCGGTTTGTCAAGCAGGTTTAACAGGATTCGGAATGGTTTAAGCATCTCAAGTTTGGTTCCTTTCTTTGTCATCAAGGCATCAACACCTAGGATTTAAGAAAAACATTTTTACGGATGTGTTTAAGACTATTTTGTTGTGATTTCGTCCTGTTTTAACACTGGATCAATAAGAGATGAGCCTTACTGGACTTCTAGGGAAAACAGTTTAGAACTGATAGAGCTATCCAGTATAAATAAAGTTAGTTTAGTTTAGGTTTCCTCCTGTACTGTAGTAACACTGAATCAGTAAGAGATGATCCTTACTGGACCTCTAGGAAGAACAGTTTAGAACTGATAGAACTATCCAGTATAAATAAAGTTAGTTTAGTTTAGGTTTCTTCCTGTAGTAACACTGGATCAATAAGAGATGATTCTTACTGGACCTCTAGGAAGAACAGTTTAGAACTGATAGAGCTATCCAGTATAAATAAAGTTAGTCTAGTTTAAGTTTCTTCCTGTAGTAACACTGGATCAATAAGAGATGATTCTTACTGGACCTCTAGGGATTCTTACTGGATCCCATTACTTCAATCTACATGTAAGTTTATATAGAATATACAAATCGTATTCTTGGTAATTACCTGGGCCACTCTGTTGCCTGAACAAAGCTCTCATTCCTTCAACCACCAATCTCTTTCCAAACATTTCAAAATATTGATTGCCATCGTCCTCACTGGTACTGCCAGACATTTGAGACAAGCCAGCACTATTCACGCCCAGTATCCAAGCATACAGCCTTCGATTCAAAGACATATCACGACGGAGCAGAACACCCAGGGCTGCGGTCATGATGGTTGCTAGGTGGGCGTGGGTCAGGTTAGGGGCGTGTAGGGGTAGCAGTTGTACCAAGAAGTCTAGTATGTTCCTTTGTACTAGAGCAAGGCTGTCGTTTAGCGCCAAACATAGACCTTGAACCTAAGATCATAATTTGAAAACAATTTATAAGCCAATTTGATTGACAGCACTCTTCCATTGACAAGTAAAATCATCTGGCATTAGACAGAGTAAAATAACATAAATAAAGTACGGTGCAATGCCAGTTAAAAGGTTGAATGTTGCAGTACATGGCTGCAGAAAGTAGAAAACTAGCTCAGGAACACTAAAGAGACACTTGTCTTTGTTGAGAGTGAGCCCGTTGGCATGCAGGCATTGCAGGGTCTGGTCCAAACTGTGGTCATGTTCAGCCTGGGTTGTTCCAAAGACAATAATGTCATCAGATATGTTGCGGACCCCTGGGATCCCAATTAGCACTTGCTGGCCTGATGACAAACTGGTACATTTCAGATGCTGATGACAAACCGAAAATTAATCGTTTATAGCAGCCCACAAGAATCTGGGTGGAGCTCAATTTGGTGATAACCCCAACGCAGGTCTAGCTTGGAGAAAACTGTTGCCCCATTGAGGGCTTGCACCATCTCTTCCAATGTGGGGATGGGTAAGTAACTTGTTTAATTCAAAACTGAGTTGAAATATTTGTGGGGTTACTGGCTTACTCCAAAAATCATTTAGGAGCTGGGTATCTCAGCCTGGAGTTACTGGCTAACTAAAAAATCACTTTGTTCTTGTTTAATTAGAGGCTAAATTTTGATCTGCAGTTGCGGCACAACCCATTCTCGTACCCCTCAACCCTCATCATTCTCTGTAATTGACCACATGTAAGATGGGATCTGGGTACGAGAGTATGTGGTATAGCCTACTGTAGCTCCATTTGAAGATTGGCTACCTCCACAAAAATAAAATCTACAATTATGTAATGTTACTAGTAGGCTGATGCAATATATTCATTTGATATTTTTGATAAATATAGATATTTAAATAAATAGAGGATATTACAAGGTGGTGCAAAGATATGGCTTTTATCTTCGAGTGGTGAAAACATATCTTGAAGCCACCGTGTGATGTTCTGTTGATTATTAGTTATTATTAGTTTAATATTAGTTATTTATTATTAATTATTTCAGGAGATCACCAGTAACCATTTAGCATATTGCAAAATTAAGATAACTGTAATAATTTTTGTTAAAACTTATGGGTAAATAAACATCTAGTCTAGTCTTATATTAAGTCCCAAGCAAAAAAACTGTGAAATTTCACACTCAAAAGTAAATTGGACAAAGTCACATGATCAATATCTTCACTAGTGAAGATATTATGGAAAATATCTCACTATGTATCTTCAGTATCTCACTCTCTACTATTCGATTTTTTGCATGTTTACTCTGTCGAATGCAAATGACCATGAACTCACCATAAATGCATGATTCCTTCCCAACAAATGTTGCTGTTCCGTTGGTGGTAAATGTTTATCGAGTCGTGAAAGTAGGAATATTGAAGCAGGCAGTCGGCCAACAGGAGTCGTGATCACTGATTGCCACAATGCATCAAAGAATACATCTATATCTGTCGCAACACTGAATGATTCTAGCAGAGATATCGTCCTATTGGAAGAATAATGACAAAATAAATATACAATATATTTTGGTGAATATTATAACTTCAAATTCAAATGATCCAATTAGTAGAAAGCTAGGGTTTGAACCATGTGAGCATGAGATTTAGTGCTTTGTCTGTAAAATTATGCTAAAATGAAGAGATTTTAGATGGCACGCCAAAGAGAAAATAATGTCTGAAGTATGGTAAGTTTTTCTTATATTATTTGCTGTATACGTATGGCTTCAATTTGAAAGCATCAATGATAGTGTTGAAATTGACAATACTAACTATTATTTTGTGTTTCTATACGTTTCAACAACCAGATAAATTTTAAAAGGTTGCTGACGGTGTAAAGTACAAAATAAACCTAAAACAAAGTAATTTCGAGAGGATTTTAACTTTTATCACAAATTTGAAACATTGAAAAAATTGCTTCTTATAAATAACAAATTGAAGTCAATATCAAATTAAAAGTCAATATCAATTAAAACAAGCAAAAACATTGTTTAATTTCATGAAAAGAGGTGTTTTTAGGCTTTGTAAAAACGATGTACTGTACAAAATTCAAATACAAATACAATATTTAATTGAACACTCCCCATTGGAGCTTTTCAGTGTTTTTTTTCTGTACATATATGGCAAACTTGTTGATGGTCACAAAGTTGCTAAAATGGATGCGTGATCTCAAAATAATATAGCTTGATACCTTTCTGTATAATCAGACCCCTCCTCAATTCCAGGTAAAAGTCCGAGTAACAACCCAGGCAGACTAGGCACAAGTGCCATGCCCAAAGGTAAGAAATGTTCCTCGTACAATTTCATTAATGCAGGCTTCACTGACATCGCCGAGTGACTCATTAACGGGAACAGTCCAACGCTATAGATAAACAGATCTTGTGACAAGCGTTTCTTGCCGATACGCTCGAATATCAGGTTGTACGTCTCTAATGCTTTGAGATGAACACCGCTTGGTAAAGCAGGATGCATACATTGTGATAGTCTTTTGCCAATCATTAGTTTTCTGGGGATGACAACAAACTTGGAATAGGAATTTAAAACCTGTGAATAAAAAGCAAGTCTACAGTAAGTCCTTGGTAAAGAGAAATAGTACACGAAAGTGTTTGGAAAATGTGGAAAACAGTATGCATGTTTAGTTTTTTATCCAAGGGCAGATCTAGCCTCACTTGCAAGGAGGGGTGTAGGTTTTCCCTGGGGTGGTGCATGAGGGAGCCTTACTGCCCACTCTCCTCTGCAGTCTGCAACGCTATACTCTCCCAACATTACCATTATTTGAGATGCCGAATCTGCATGTTTGCCGTTCTGTTACGTTTTACATTATTAAAGTTTATATCGACTTTTTATCACAAATATGTGACTGGACAGTTGCTGCAGCACAGTACAGTAAATTTGCAAATATTAACCCTTTAAGTGGCAATGTGGCCAGATGTGCCCTACTTTATTATTTTACTCTGTCTAACACCAGATGATTTTACTCGTCAGGGGGAAAGAGCAGCCACTCAATGGGTTAAAGTACAGTACAGTATATTTGAAAATATGGCTGTATAACAACCTTGATATGTTCACATATTTAACCATGATATTGCACTAAAGCATTCTGAGTATTTTCGTGTGAGCTCACAAACAATTAAATTGCTTCAAGAAATCGATACGCGCTAACAGTACAAGTTCGATCCACTAATCACTATTCAAAAAGTAGAAAATGTATGGTCAAGCAGATTTTTTGGCTGCACATGCTAGATTTTCCTAGGGGGTGCCACACTCGACTAGGTGGGGTGCACAGCCTCTACAATCCCACAGTATGTCTACCCCTGTTTTCAACCATTAATGTGCAAGGCCCTTGTCATCTAACACTAAACGTTTCAAGTGAAAATTGACAATATATAATTTTTAGACCTAACCGTGCAGTCCTGAGATGCTAGTAGAGCACTGTAACAAAGAGACCAGTTGTCGAGCTCTAACCACAAGTTCCTCTATGTATATATATATATATATATATATATATATATATATATATATATATATATATATATATATATATATATATATATATATATATATATATATATATATATATATATATAATATATATATATAAAAATTTTAT